TTCAACAATTGAAAAAATTCATCAAGAAAGTAAATATTGTGTAATTATGGGAGATTTCAATTTAGATCTTCTAAGGTTTGAAATTCACCCAGCTACAGACGATTTTCTTGACACATTAGGTTCTTATTTCTTCCAACCTCAAATACTTCAGCCGACTAGAATTACTGATCATTCAGCCACATTAATAGACAATATATTTTTCAATTCTGTTGAACATTTTCTTATTGGTGGCAATATAGTATATGACCTTACTGATCATTTGCCAAATTTTTTGATAATTAATAGATATTCTTTATTACCTAATAATGTTAAGATCTATAAGCGAGATTTTAGTAAGCTTGATGGGGCAGCATTAGTTAATAATATTCAAACCATAGATTGGGACAATGCATTATCCTGTTGTTCTGACGCTAGTTCTATGTTTGATACTTTTTATGAAACTATATCACAAAAAGTTGATAAATACATTCCTATCAAAGTGATGTCTAAGAAGGAATTAAAAATCCAGTCTAAGCCATGGATTACGTCTGCCATTAGAACATCCATCAACACAAAAAATAAATTCTATAAAAAATTTCTAAAAACTAAATCTGTTCATTATCCCTCTAAATTTAAATATTACAGAAATAAAATAAACCATCTTATTAGATTATCTAAACAACAATACTATAATAAATACTTTGCCTCTAATATTAATAATAGCAAGAGAGTATGGAAAGGCATAAAAAAAATTATACATAGTAATCCCAAATCATATCAACAACCTACAAAAGTTCTTGAGAATAACTGTGAAATCACGGATACAAATTTAATTGCAAATGCCTTTAATAGATACTTTACTAACATTGGCAATCAATTATCGAATAAGATACCGGAAGCACAAAAATCACCACTAGATTATCTAACAACTCCTCAACGTGATAGTTTCTTTATACATCCTATAACATCGTTGGAGATAGAAAATGAAATAATGTCTTTAAGGACAAATAAGTCTACTGGTCCTTTTAGCATACCAATTTCAGTATTAAAATTACTTAAAAGTGTTATAGCAACACCCCTGGAAACAGTTTTTAATGAGTCCATCTTAACAGGAATTGTTCCTGAGAGATTTAAGCTGGCAAAAGTAATACCTGTATTCAAGAAAGGTCTGTCTACTAATTTAAATAATTATCGACCTATTTCTCTTCTGTCGGTTTTTAATAAACTTCTAGAAAAACTAATGTTTAATAGATTAATAGTCTTTCTTAACAAAAATAATATTCTTTACAACAAGCAGTTTGGATTTCGTACAGGATATTCGACTGATTCTGCGATTTTGTGTATTGTTGATAAAATTCAAAAAGCAATTGAAGAGTGCCAATTTTCATGTGGTGTATTTTTGGATTTTAGTAAGGCATTCGATACAGTTAATCATGAAATTCTGATTATGAAACTTGAGCATTATGGAATTAGAGGGATAGCAAAAGATTGGCTTGCTTCCTATCTTAGTAATCGAAAACAATTTGTCTTTTTGAATAATGTATCATCAGATCAACTAACACTATCTTGTGGTATCCCCCAAGGATCGGTACTGGGACCATTGCTGTTCCTGTTATATGTAAATGACTTCAATTGTTGCTCAAAACTTTTAGATTTTCATTTATTTGCAGACGATTCAAATCTTTTCTATAAACACAAAAACTTGCTTACATTACAAAATGACTTGAATAATGAGCTAAATAATGTACACATATGGTTGTGCTCAAATCGCATTTCTCTGAATATTGAAAAGTCAAATTTCGTTATTTTCCATCCTCCACAAAAGAAAATATCCTCAAATTTCAAATTATATTTGAATGGAAAAGAACTAAAACAAGAACTTTGTATTAAATATTTGGGAATCTACATAGATTCTAATCTTAACTGGAAAAGTCAAACAATTTACATTGCAAAGAAAATTAAAAGAAGTATTGGGATCCTTTCCAAATTACGCTACCATGTTTGTGAGCAAATTCTTGTAAATCTTTATTATGCATTGATTTACCCGTTCTTGATTTATGGAATAACTATTTGGGGTAATACATACCCCTCTACTCTACAACACTTGTATATCTTACAAAAAAAAGCTATACGAATAATTACATTTGCAAAATACGATGAACACTCAAGTCCCTTATTTAAAAGATTGAATATCATGAAATTGCCTGATCTTGTTTCTTTCCATCTTGCCAAATTTATGTACAAATTCCATAACAACTTATTACCGGTGGCTTTTGGTCAGTTTTATATTCCGGTCCATGAGGCTTCTAATTATAGTACAAGACTTGCCGTTAAACAATCATACTATTTACCAAAAACTAGAACCAATTATGGTATCTTTAATATAAGATTCCAAGGTGTTAAAATCTGGAATTCTCTAGACGAGAATGTCAAATCTCTCTCTCTCTTGCAATTCAAAAAGAGAATAAAAATTGAAATGATCCAGAAATATTGAGAATTGTAACAAGAATTAACTTTATTATTTGATGTAAATATGAACATTGTAATGAGGTTATTTTGCGTGCAGCTCTCTCCAACGTATATATCCTACTGGAGACAGCTGTTCTGTGAGCTAGTTTTATATTTATATTTTCCCCAGTCCTTATTGGCTGCACCCTCTTTCTAGCCCTTATGGTTATTTTGTGCAGCCAGTGCTCTAACTTATATATACAACATATGTAAACAACTAATTTTCTTTCCTTCTTGTGAGTACGAATAAAACATTATTATTATTATTATTATTAAACAACGCCCATCTATCCATTGCATTCCGGTCGTTGGGCATACCAGCTGTTTTGACCAAGAAAAAACCTTGAAAGCAAATAAACTATACAAATAAATGAGGAGATGTAAGCTATAATAATATTTTGTAAACACTCCGTACACCAGACAAATACTATCTAAATACAGCCACAAATAAATACATATACATTTGCTCAGAACAGAAGACAAATTAAAAATATATTAAAAATCTATACAAATTATATTCATACAGTAAAGAGCACGAGCACCAGTCCTCGATTTTTTAACACTTCCTCTTTCTTTCAACTTGAGTACATCCTGTCCTTCCTTGAAGCTATTAAGGTATACTTTGTCTGCACGACTTAATGGGGGACTCCAGAGATGTCGACCCCCCTGCACATTGGTACACCTGCAGCTTGGTGTTCACTTTTGTCTTGTATCCAGTAGAGGTGTATAGATCTACGCCATCCAGGTCTTGGGACGCAAAGTTCTCTGTTGCGTTACTCGCGAGAAAGTGGTGTAGCGAGGAATGGGAATTTCCTATGCGGCTCAGGGGACCCTATCTGACCACCAAATAATGCAATATATAATATATAATATAGAAGTAAAACTTCCCCTCTGCGTTTTTCAAGGGCTTGGGACCTTCTAGTGTAACCACTAGGCAGCATTAAAAATTTGATATTATAATTACAAAAAATAGAAGTTCGTTGCAGATGATAATAACAAAGTTTATCCTTTTTCTTTTTGTATTCTTTTTTCTTTCAGAGCATCCCTCCAACTTTCATAGGTCTGACAGTCATCTCAGTAGCCTGGCAATACAAATTTCCGAAGTACTGCCTGTGTGTAGCCGGATCTCTGCTCTGTTTGCACTTGCCACATACGATGGATTTGGACGAACGCTGCTATTTCCTAACAGAAATCCCAGACGCTTCCTCCGCTTTCCGTTTCTGGTAATAAAACTGGCTTCGATTCTGTTGATTTGGTGGTTGGTTGGTTGGTTGGTTGGTTGGTTGGTTGGTTCGTCCCAAATTTGCCATGTCACACAATCATAATTTAGAAATGGTATTCCCATTGTGTCTTTCTCACGGTCTGATGAATAAGTTATAACTGTTGAATGAGCTCAGCAGATTCCAACTCCTTCTTTGTTACATGCATGGTAATGTCATCCTGTGCTGCCCGATACACCCCGATGGCTTTCAGTTCTTCTTACTTTGCACCAAGAAGCCTCTCGAGGTCAACTGTGTCCCACTCGAATATGCAGCCCGATATCTGTCCCATAAAAGTCCCATACAGTGCATGAGACTCTGAGCAGCAGGGCATCGCAAACCGCCGCGTGAAGTGCCAGATGTCCAACTTTGCCAATAAATTTGGCCAACCAGTTAATTGTTGTGGTAACCTGATGCCACAACAATCACGGTCAACATAGAACTTTTGGAGGTTCTATATGAGACTGCTCATATCATGACACCAACCCTTGGTACCAACTTGGTACTATCATGACACCAACCCATCATTACTACTTTGCCAAACTCATTGCCAACTTTAGTGCGCCAGGATGCTGTGTTATGGGCCTTTCCAACTAGCTTCTTAACAACGTACACAAAAGAATGTAATTATAATAATAGTAATAATCTTAGATTGTTATTCTTTTCACTGTGTTCGCATTTTTTCATTGGCTAAAACCCTAAAAATAATTTTATGTATTTGTATTTGCCCGCACTATTTTCATCAGAAACAGTAATCTGCAGAGGTTACAGGACGTTACCTTTTTTGTCGAATCCATCTTTAAGATGCTCCCAAACACTGACGTGATTTGCGCCTTCGTTTCCTCTATTCGTCCCGCCACATCCCGGATGTATACTGCCAGAATCCAAGCTGGTTTTGGCACAGGTGGGATAGGGGGAGGGGATTTTAGATGGAAAAAATCCCTTGAGGAGTGAAGTTGGAAGTGCTCCCTGGCTTGAAGGAATTGTAATGCCTTTGTGGTGTGGTTTTCGCAGTGTTGCTCATACACCTGTTTGTAGTAATAATAATAAAAATAAAAAAAAATGGGGGGTGCGGGAACCGGTGTAGATTTAACTGGGATTAGTATTACGAGATGGGGTGTGGTAGGGCGTTGGCAGCGTCTGTACGGACGGATGGGATTTTGTAGGTCGAATATGCAGATTTATTTAAGTTTAGCATGCGTGAATTTTATATTTAAGAGTCATGCGGGAATTTTAAATCTACACCGCTGTTCTTCTGTAATTCTACGCTAGTTCCCGCACTAAATCGTTGTGATGACAACGGTGACGTCATAGAACGTTTGTGCGCGAGTAGCGTGTTACCCCGAAGCCTTGGTTGACCGAACTGAAGTGATTTGAAATTGGCGCGCTGTTTTGTAGAGGTGAGGGGGCGGGGCTTGTGTGTTGGCTGCTGATTGGTTAATAAGTGATAATAAGGAATAATAAGGGATAGTAAGGGGTTAAGAAGTGATAATAAGGGGTAATGAGGGTAAATATTACAAAAAATAGTGTAAAAAATGGATTTTATTCAAAATTATTTGATATTTACATAATTTTTGGTTTAAAATTATCATTTATTTATTTTTTTCTAGTTTTTCTACTGTTTCTTCTTGTTCTTTATTTAGTATTTGGTTCATAATCAGAATCAAAATCCATTAATCTTTTTTCTAATATATTAATTTTTTCTAGTTTTTCTTTTTGTTCTTTTATTATATCTAGAGCTTTTCTTCTACAGTCTGTTATGTATTCGTACATAACATAGTCGTTTGTTGAGCTGCATGTGATGGTTGTTGTTGATTTGGTCAATACGGTTTTCCTTTTTTTCTCTGTACCATCGAGAGCTAAGAGGATAAAGTCTTGACTGTATATTTTAGATTTGCCACACGATTCGTTTGCAAGTTTTGATAAGGTGTCGAATCTGGAGGGTCGACCGACACCGCGTGGTACATCGTAGATTTGAGGTTGTATTTGAATACGCTTGCGTTTAGGATGTTGTTGGTCGAAGAGTTCTTTGGCTTGCACAATGTTTTTACTAGCAATTGTATTTTCAGGGTTTTTTGGTGGCATTTCTTCAATTTTTTCTGTCACGATTTCGACTCTGACTGGGGGTTTAGGTACTACTACTAAACTACTCCTGTTTCCGGATATGGTGCGACGAATTTCCCACTGACCTCGCCCGCATCAACTTCACCACCTTTAGGTCACATGAATATCTGGAATTAATTGTCCATATTTGTAGAAACAACTCATTACAGTTTTTCATGTTTTTAAAAGAAAAAAACTGTATGTTAAAATAGCAGGGAAGTAACTGCGGCGGCCCATGTCCAGTTGGCTCAGCACATGCTGCGAGGAGGAGGCAAACTTCTTCCGACAAACCTTGCACTCGAGATACTCCGTGGCTAGGTAGTAATAGGAGTTCACATCCAAAACCTCCCGGAGTGTTCGATAAAGGCCAGATTGTGTAAGGTAGCTTATCTAATAATAGTAAAACTTACTTATAATAATAATACTTAAAATAATAATAATAATAACTTCTTTATTTAAACTGGTAAAAACCGATCAGCTAACAAAATATCAGCTGGTATAAACCGATGACCAGAAAACTACTTAAAAAAAATAAATTACTTACTGGAAAAAAACTTATAAAAAAATACTTACTGGTAGGTAATCAGAACTGGAAACTGGAGTTGATGACCAGGATCGAGCTGTCGAACAATGACAGGAGTCCATAGATATATCATATCTATGCAGGAGTCCAACTGATTACCATCTTTTTGCACGCTCTACACTCAAGATATTCTGCAGCCAGGCGTATCCCGGGATAGATGCCGATAATGACCGGTTAGCTCTTTCTTGTCACATGTGGGGATGTGGACAATACAATTTAACACCTTACAGCTTTCTGGGCCTCCACAGTAACAGGCGCTGTGCAATAAATTTGCTAGGGCGTGGAGGTTGTGATGCAATAAGGGGTGGCTGAGGGGGATACCACCAAAGCTTGTTAACTCTAAAAAAAAATAACAAATTTATAATAAATATTAATAATTAATATATTATTTATATATTTATTATTATATTTATTATATTTTTAAGATAATATTATGTGACAATACCTTCTGAAATCTAGCTCTGCTTTACCGGTTCTAGCATTCGTCTTGAATAAAGCTTGAGCTATCCATTGATGATCAGCCTTATGGTAAAGTGTTAAGCCATCCTTCAGGCAAGGTCATTAAAAAGAGAAACATAATACCAATAATGTCCAAAAACACACACTGATTTTCATCATTCATGTTGGCACATAGCTGATATCCCTGCAAACTACACAACATCAACATATACCATGATTAATGCTTTCAGAAGTGGCCGTCTCAGATACAGGAACTTCATCAATAAGGGAAGGTTGATCGACAACTTGCTCGACATCTTTCAATCAACCAAGGGTTTGTGTAAATATAGCAAGAAAAGAGAGAGAAGGAAAACAAAGAGGAAACTAGATTTTACAATAACTTGAATGATCAAATTTTACAATAACTTGCTTATTCTTTATTTGGTTTATTCTTGGGCGGGTTGGCCACTTTTTTGGCAGCTAACCACGTTTCTTTATTTGCAAATTGTTTTCCTTCGACAGAAGGACAAAACGTATCTACACCATTCTGGCTTATTTGCCGACTGTGGCCAAAGTCCTCTGTTTTGGGCAGTTTGCAGTGGCCACACGTATTAAATGTTTTTTTCTTTCTTAGCGTTTCTTATTTGGCTGTGTCTCGTCTTCTTTTGTTTTGGTAATATTGGGTGCTTTTGGGAACTTCAATATTGGTGGGACTATTGTATAATGGTGTTGATGTCTCTGGTTGAGAGCATAACTGGATAGGTCGTGGCAGTTGGGGGAGTGGTTGCACTGTGGGAATTGGGAATGTATGTGGGGGTGGTGGTGTTGGAATAGGCTTCGGAAGGAGAGGTCTTGCTGGTCGGAGTGGTTTTAACGCTGTCTTTGGTGGTGATGGCGGTATTGCTTGTGTCAGAATTCTTTCTTCCAGATTCTTCTGGTGATCATTCCACCTAGATGGTTAAGATAGATAGTAGAATTTAAAATGTGTGTTTTGCTTGCTTGCTTGTTTGTTTGTTTGTTTGTTTGTTTGTTTGTTTGTTTGTTTGTTTGTTTGTTTGTTTGTTTGTTTGTTTGTTTGTTTGTTTGTTTGTTTGTTTGTTGATATTTATTGTGATATTGCCTATTAAACTAGTATGTATAATAATAAGAATAAGATCATACCATTTTAATAACGTTGTTTGATTCAGTTCATATAACTGAATGTTTGTGTTTTCCATGATTCGATCATTTAGTGTGACCAATTCCCGTATGCGGTGGTAGGCCCCACGGATTAATCGCCACCTGGAGATGGTCTAGCCTTCCTTCTTCTGCGGGCTGTTGAAGACACTTTCCAGCTTCTTACACAAGCTTTCTACGATAGGGCTGGTATCGACTGCCGTTGCAGGACCAGAGTTCCCACCAACCATGGCTCTAAAGTGAATTACAATAATATCAGTTACATTTCTCCACACCCACTTTGCTGTCCTCCGAGCGCTGCATGTTCCACCGTGCCAATCCCTCTATGAGGTATGCCTAAAAGGTCACTCCGCTTGCTGATGATCCTTAAATTACCGATAGAATAATGAATATGGCAATAAAAATATAGAAATACACCGGAAGGCTTTTACCTCCCTTCTTAATTTGGCCAACCTCGGTGTACAGTTGTATTCCGGGTGGATCCTGGATGCACGGGATGTGCCTTCTTTGCTCGGGCCAGAACTCCGTCATCATTTCTTCCCTGAATAAGGGGACCCCCAGCTCGTCTGTTGCTGTTGCCATGGTGGTAAACAGCGAGTCCAGCAACGACTCGGTGGTCTCAACACCCCTGGTGCGTCTTCGACAGTGTTGAGCCAGTTCTTTCTTTCCAACTGCACTCCTCACGGCCTCGGACGACGGGTTCTTAACGCCGTTCCCGACGAGTTCGGATTTCTTGGCCGCATATAGGGATTCAAGGTCTTGCTGATCCCATTCGAATATGCACCTCGACAAACTCTCTATGAACACAGAGTATAGTGGATGGCTGTCACTGGTGACGCCCACAGCAAGGCGTCTCATAAAGTGAAAGATGTCCAGCCTAACCAACAGGTTTTCCCAAGCAGAGTGCTGCAACACTCACGGTCGGTGTAAATAAGCACAGGTGGAGTCGCACCTGCTCGTGAAAACCTATTGACTAGGCCATCGGCCATTACTTGTAGAGACCCCATGCTCTCAGTTGTTGTAACGATGGAATTCAACACCTCCCCCTTCTCGTTACCCACGTTGGTGACCCAGCTTGCAGTGCTGCCCTTGGCTCCCTGCAGCTTCTTGGTGATCTTTTTGGTGGAGTCAATTTTCAAAATCCTCCCATACATCGAAGTGTAAGCTGACCTTGTTCGATTTCTGTCTTCTCCCCATTTCGATAAAGATTCAGACCGCTATACCCTTGACAGGGAGGACCACCTACAAGAAGGTAAACCTCACCCTGCTTTGGAAGCTGACCTTGTTCGGTTTCTGTCTTCTCCCCATTTCGATAAAGATTTAGACCGCTATACCCTTGACAGGGAGGACCACCTACAAGAAGGTAAACGTCACCCTGCTTTGGAAGCTGACCTTGTTCGGTTTCTGTCTTCTCCCCATTTCGATAAAGATTTAGACCTCTATACCCTTGACAGGGAGGACCACCTACAAGAAGGTAAACCTCACCCTGCTTTGGAAGCTGACCTTGTTCGGTTTCTGTCTTTTCCTTAATATTAAAAAATATCTGTCCTCATCTTCATCTTTATCCTGTTCGTCGTCTTGTAACGGTCAACAAGGGCGGTGGTAATTTGGGCGAGGCCGCTTCCTTCAGAAGCGGTCAGGACACTGATCAACACTTTACCGAACTCATTGCCGACATTCGTCATCCAAGATGCCGAAAACGCAGCCTTTCCCGTAAGTGTCCTGACAATCTATAATTATGAAATGTATTTAAAAATAAATTAAAAAGATGTTCACAAATTCAACTGATAATGGGGGTAAGCCATTTGTAGATGCTTGGACAAAATATCCAGAATGATACATTTCACCACAGGATTTTCAAGATGCATCCAATAAATGTAGTTCTTGTTATATTATGTAGTTCTTGTAGTTCTTTACATATTATGTTGTTCTTGTATTTCTTGTTTTACTGCCCTCTGATTGGCTAAATTTTGGAAGAATCTTCCAAAAGTCAACCGAGAACTTCGGCGGTCTTTAAGTGGCAAAAATGGGGCGCAATCTTCTCTGTTGCGGAACCCCCGCAGAAGGAAGAAGAAGGGCTTTTCCCTGCGTTAGGGGAATCCCCAAGCGCGCGGGATATTTAAAATGTAAGACAATGGAAAGTATAAAATAATCCCGTGAAAATGGTGCAATGCCGCTGTAATGCACGACATTGCTGTTATATTAAAAAGATAATGATCCCATAGATATATACAAAATATTTATATACGAAAACCTGGTATTTTAGGTGTTTAAAGAGTTACTTGTTCTTTTTTTTATATTTATCACCAAACTTCTCGCGCCACTGTTCGTAAGTCTGGCCCATGGTAGGGCAATACCAATTTCCGTAATATTGTTTATGTGCACCAGTTCTATCCTGGCCACATTTCGAACACTTAGCTGGGGTCGTTCTCTCTTTATATCGTCGCGGGTATTCGCGAGCCAGTGCTTCTTCGCTTTTCTTCTTCCGATAACTCTTCGTGCTGTTGTGAATTGTTGGGGGGAGGGGGATTTATAATTGGCGATGGTGGAACAATTAATTTGAAATTGGGGTATCTGTGGTGGTTGAATATGTGGTGGTTGAATATGTGGTTGTGGGCGTGTCCGTGCTTGCCCGATTGTGTTTTGTGGTAGTACGAACTGGTGAGGGGATCGTATATTCGGAACGGGAAGCATTGTCGGTCGTATGGGAACGATGGCAGGTATTGGTTTAGAAGTTGTCACTGTTGCCTCTATAGTGGGCAGACCCTGTTCTAACACTTCTCTCTCCTGTTGCTTGGAACGATCGTTGTGCCTATTAAGAAACGATAACAACATAACCAACGTTATACTCTCACGTTTATAAATCTATGTGCCTACAATATTTGGGTACTATTACGTACCATCTTGTTAACGTCGCTTGCTTTATCTCTACCAGCTGGATATTTGTCTTCGCCATGACCAAGTGGTTGGTCAAAATCACATTACGTATCTTCCTATATGCTTGGCCAACCAGGGTCTAGCGAAGGATCGTTTTGCCATTGTTCTTTACGTTGGCGGGGTATTTTTCACACAGCATGGTGAAAAGCGACTCCATGTGACGGTTAGAGTCCGGTCGATTTGCTGGCCCACTGTTTTGACCAAGGAAACATCTTAAAAGTAGACAAACTGTAATGTTGAGAAGAGAATTCAAGGGATATGAAATAATTCCCCTGTAATTGCTTACCTTTTAGTACTATCAACACCAGGAACGGTTGTTGAAGATTTGGACGACTTGAATCTTCCCTGCGTCAACTTTCTTCGATGACGAGGTGAAAATGTCACCGCTTTCTTGTCGTAAGTTGACAACTTTGACCAGAGTTCAATCACCTGCTGAGCTTGTCCATTTGTTAAAGATGAACAAATCTCTAGCTGGAGAAGGAACTCTGCTAAAGCGGCGACTTTCCCATAGCCCTCTACTCCATCTGGACCAGCAGATTCCTATATAGAAAGAAAGTAAATGCTTGTATATATATATATATATATATATATATATATGTGTGTGTGTGTGTGTGTGTGTGTGTGTGTGTGTGTGTGTGTGTGTGTGTGTGTGTGTGTGTGTGTATATGTGTATATGTGTATATGTGTATATGTATATGTATATATATATATATATATATATATGTATATATATATATGTATATATATGTATATATATATATATATATATATGTATATGTTGCGAAGAGGGGGGTAGGAGTAATTCGCAAGAAATACAGTATTTACGTCATCTTGCTCCAAACTCGAGGTTTTTTCAGGAATTTCGTCTGGAGGAATTTCGTCTTGAGGAGTTTCGTCAGGAGGTGTTTCTTCGACGATGTCGTTTTCCACCGCGAAGATCGTTCGATCTATAACGTCCGTTTCCTAAATAAAGGTTACAGCGCATTAATTAGTAAGATTAAAATGAAAATTAAGATACTTATGCGGAGACTTCGTACATGAAATCCTTCATCGTCAGTATCTTCGTCTTCTTCTTTGTCCTCTTCTTCGTCTAGATCTACTTCCTGGAGGACCTTTCCTGTCTGCGAGTACAGGTACTCTATCCCGATTTTCTCCCCTAAAACAAACAAATTTCACATTCCACACGTCATTGTTTGTTTTTGGGAAGACAAAACAAACAAGCGGCGTTTTATATAAACAATTAGTTTTACAAGTATTTACCCGTATACTTGTTTGGAACAGAGTAACTGGCATTCATGGGTTTTCCAAGAACCCCCTGGCTTAACTGGTTGATAGCCAAAACCAAACGACTGTCGTACGTCGTCGTGCTACTGCCAACAACCGACGCAGCTCGATCCTTGTTCCAACCCGCCAATCCCTCCAAAAGGTACGCTTGGAAGTGCACGTCGTTGGCACTGAATCCTTAAAGGAACAAAAATATAATAGATATTCGTTGCAACAAGTGCAACGTTGCAATATTCGAAACATGCCTGGTGATCTTTTACCTGGAATAAATTTATTTACATGTAAATGGAATGATTCCAGAGATGTGGAGCCACGAGCACAGCGAAGAACAGGCAAAGTAACGCCACCTACGGTAAATATAGAAATAAAAAAGAAAATCATGAATTACTAATGGCTCGACCAATAAACTTGGAGAACTTTTTCAAAAATTCAACTGAATCGCCATGATTGGCTAACTTTTGGAACTTAGGTTCCAAAAGTTAACCGAGAACATCAGCGTTCTTTTAGCGCAAAAAATTGTTCCTGTTCTCCTCTGTCTCAACCCTCCAAATTGACCCTGCGAACATGCGCAGAACGAGCAAGAGAAATACGCGGGGTTTTCCTGTGCGATTAGGGAATTTCCCTAATGAAAACACGTGTAATTTAGCAATACAGTAATTATTAATCATAATCATTAACAAAAACGCAATCACGCATTCTTGTCCTTGCTGTGATGTTCCGTATGAGCAGCAACCCACTGGTCATAGGGCATATCTGCTTTAGTCTCGCACCACCATTTACCGTAATACTGACGATGTGAAGGGGCCACTCTTTCCATTCCACATTGACCACACGTCGTTCCGGTTTTTCTCTTGTACCGTGGCCCCTTCACATCGCCCGTCTCTTCTAGATGCTGCCGCTTCCTCCGATATGCCATGGTAGATGAGGGTATAGGGACCTGCTGTTCATGCTCAACTGAGATTGAGCCAGTTTGAATAGCAGCAATGGGAGCAGGAATTATGGGTGCAGGGTGAGCCTGTACACAGGGACGTGGTAGGATCGGTCTTCTAGATTGCTTTGCTCTACCGGCGGCGTTAACAGGAAAGGTAAATTGGTGCCGTTAACCTGTTCCACTTTCTATTTCGACAGGAAGATGAAGTGCAGCTGGTAGTGCTTCGGAGGAAGTCATGGGTGGAGGCACGAGGGTGATCCCTGCTCCAAAATTGTTCACTCTTCATTCTTTGACTTTTGATTAAACCTGTATTGAAATACACAGGGTTAAAATATAGTACAAATATCTGTCTAAATTACGATTTACTGCATATTCATACCAATTAGTCAACGTGGCCTGATTGATATCAACCAGTTGAATCCCAGTGTTGGTGATGATTGTCGAGCATTTCAAGACCAGCGGACGGATGTGTTGGTAGGAGGTTTGGATGAGCGACCATCTTGAAATGCACACTCCATCTACGGTCGTATTGGCGGGAAAGATGTTGCACAGTTTCTCGACGACCGCTTCCATATAACGATTCGCATCTGGTCGTTGCGCTGGTCGTGAATTTTTTCCAAGAAAACTACTGGAAAAGAGAGAAAAAGAAATAAATCTCCATTAAATACAATTTCTCTGTAATTTTATGTTAAAGTGTGTATTGTTTTAGCATTTACCGTCGAGTGCCACTTCTACGCCAGGTACAAGCGCAGATTTCGACGATTTGAACCTCCCTCATGGTGATTCTTGGTTGAACCGAGGCTCGAAAACGGTGGGCCTCTTGTCGAACTCCGACATCAGAGACCACAGCTTCACATTGGTACCTGATTGGATGCTGTCGAATTTTCTTTGTTGATCCCGGAGTCCGAGAAGATAGGCGGCCAGATTGTGGACTTTCCCGTACCCGGAAACATTGTCAGGACCAACGCAATCCTGTGGTAAAAAATAAACGAAATTAGGATTTTGTGTCACTATTAAAATTATTATAAAGTTGCGTACTTACTCGTGAAGATACAGGTGCAGCACTGCTTGTTGAAAGAAGGCTCCTAGTGCATGGTGATATTGGTAAATCTAAAATCTTTAATAATTAAGTGTAATTCATCTGAAACAGGGAAAAGAAAACAATTCCTTGAATTAAAAATAATACATCATACACATAGACCTTGTTCCAACACTTCCCTCTCTTGCTGTTTGGAACGATCGTTGTGCCTATTGAGAAAGAAACGATAACAACATAATCAACGTTATATTCTCACGTTTATAAATCTATGTGCCTACAATATTTGGGTACTACTACATACCATCTTGTTAGGGTCGCTTGGTTGATCTCTACTAGCTGAATACTGATTTTCTCCATTACCAATTGGTTAGTCAAGATCACATTTCTGATTCTTCTGTAGGCTTGACCAACCAGCGTATAGCGAAGGATAATTTTACCATTCTTCACGTTGGAGGGGTACTTTTGACAAAGCATGCATGATAAACAGCGACTCCATGTAACGATTACAGTCTTATCGATTTGCAAGCTTGTCTGCAAGCGTAAGTATTTCACTCCAACCACTTCTCCTGTGTATGCAGATGGAGTGGGAAAGTTAGTCAGAGCAGCCTCAGTGTAAATTGCTGATGACAACGCATTGACTCTGCATGAGTGAGATGTCGAAACTCCTCAACTTCTCGATTGTCACACTGTCTTGCACAGCCCTCTCTCCATTCCATCTTGCCAAGCCTTCCACCAGATATGCTTGAAAAGCCACTGCACCAGCTGATGTCCCTAGTAGAGTAATCACAAAGAAAACAAGCCAATGATAAGTTTCTACAGTGTGTCTAGATGTTTGTCATGCTATATAAAGTTATAGTATTTGATATCTTAAAATGGATATTTCTATTCCTTTGAAATATGCTCGTCTTCGAACAGAACTATCCATTTCCAAACACCTAATCCCCACCTTATTTACCTGGTATGAACCTGTTCAAATGAAGGTGGAAACTTTCCAACGATGTGCTGCCACGGGCACATCGATACACCGACAGTGTTTTGCCTCCTTTCTTCAGTTCACCTGTGGCAGTGTAAAGGCTTACACCTGGGGGGTCTTGAATGCATGGTACATGTTTCCGTTGCTCTGGCCATATCTCCGTTAACATTTCATCTCGAAAAAGAGGTACCCCAAGCACATCTGTTGCACTTGCCTGGGAGTTGAACAGTCCTGTCAACTGGCTCTCCATCTCATCTGTACCTCTGGTTCGTCTCCGACAATGCTTTGCCAACTCCTTCTTTGAGACAGCATTCATTACAGCCTTGGCAGAGACTTTATCCCATTTTCATGCAACTCTGCCCTCTTTGCTGCATAGAGTGCTTCAAGATCACTTTGATCCCACTCGAATATGCAACGGGACAGACTTGCCATGAAAATGCCATAAAGTAGATGGCTCTCGCTTGTGCAGCCGACTGCACAGCGCCGCATGAAATGAAAAATATCGAGCCTAATCAACAGGTTTGGCCAGGCATGGAACAGCAATAGATACTTCGATTCACCTTCCTGACTGCTGCAGTCTCGGTCGGTGTAAAGAAGTACCAGTGGCTGAACACCTGCTCATTAACCCATCTGCCAATGGCTGTAATGATGCTATGCGCTCTGAAGTTGTGACAATCGAGTTTAGCACCTGCCCCCTCTCATTGCCAACATTGGTCACCCAGCTAGCCGTGTTGATATATATTCCCTGTAGCTTCTTTGTCATTTTCTTAGTGGAATAGCTCTAGTGTAGCTCTAGTGGTTCTGGTAGGGGCTCATCTGCAGCAAGAGGTGGATTTGGGACTGATAGGCCTTGTAGGAGCAGCTTGACCTCGTCCACTCTGTAAAAAAAGGCATAATATGAAGCAAGCAATAGTAGTGACTTCTTTCCTCTCTTTCCTTTGTCTTTCTCTTAAAACATTTTTTACCTGGAATGAAGCGATTCAAGTGGAGATGGAAGGATTCCAATGAGGTAGACCCACGAGCAGAACGGAACACAGGCAATGTAATTCCACCTTAATTAAGTATAGAGTGGTAACAGTTATTAACTACTTTGTCAACTATACTTACACCTACGATATTTGATGATAGTTCAGTGACAAACAAACCTTTCACCACAGTCCCAGTTTGGGTGTATAATTGAACACCATCGGGATCTTGTAAACATGCAATGTGGTGCTCCTGCGACTGCCAGATCTCCCATATCTTGTCACTGTCCAGGAGCGGCACACCGAGAGTATCTTTGCCTTGGTCGCCAGAGAAGACGTGTATCAGTTCAGCTAGCAGGGTAGCGGTTTTCTCGACACCACGAGTACGGCGACGACAATGGCGGGCCAGGGATTTCTTCGAGATTGCCTGGAATACCAGCGGATGATCTTTTTCAACGCCCAGGTCTTTCGACGTTGCGATTTGCAGGTTCTCAAGATCCTCCGTTGACCATTCAAATATACACTGGGAGAGTCGCCCCATGAACGTTGCGTACAACGGATGCGACTCTGTGGTACAGGCAGAAGCAATCCTCCTCATGAAGTGCCATATGTCCAACCTCACACATATGTCACTCCATTCAGGAAACATGGCTTTGATTCCGCCTGCACCACAGCAATCGCGATCCGTGTAAATAAGTTCCGGGGGACTCACACCAGCTTTCTCGTAACGGCCAACGAGACCAGCTGCCATGTCGTTCAGGCCATTACCCTCAGCAGCAGTAAGGACACTCACCAATACCTGACCAAACTCGTTGCCGACGTTGGTAGCCCATGCAGCAGTGAATGCAGCATTCCCGGCGAGTTTCTTGACAATCTTTTAACAGAATAATCCATATTACAAAACTGATTTATTTTTATAAAATTATTTATTTTGGTAGTTGGTAATTAGATATAGAATCCATAACTCTATGGTAGGAAATAATATAACACACTTTTGCCTGGTGAAGGATTTGAACCCTCAAATGACTCCCTTCTGAGCAACCACGCTTGAATATTGTGTTATTACTATTTGATCCTACATAGAGTTTGATAAGTTTTTGGAAAGAAAACTCACCTTTTTCGTTAAGTCGATTTTAAGAACTCTTCCAAAGATGGATGTAATCTGAGCCTTGACCTCATCGACACGGGAAAGGACATCCTGACAATAGCTCGTCAACAGCCAATTGGGCTTTGGGACAGGAGTTCGCTGTGGTGGGTTTTCGGGGTTGAAGAGGGTAATAATCCCCCGAGCGCAGGCCTTGGTGAAATGCTGGCAATCTGAAAGGTACTGGGCACACTTTATCAGCCATGCCTCTTCGTGTTGTTCCTCCAATTTGCAGAAGAGCTGGGTGGAGCTGTTTCCAAGTCCCCTCTGCCGCAGTAGGCGCACAACCCTAACATCACAGGCGTACTTGTGTGTCATCAAGACCGGAAACTGCAGCTGGTGTCCAACATCAAGTTGTTTGATGATTGCCGGACTCCAACTGATCAGCTTCCTGCCACATTTGAGACACTCCAAGTACTCTGCTGCCAGAATGTAATAGCCATCCACATCCAGCACCTGTCTCACTCTCGGGTACACACCGGCACTCGTCAACGGGTGTTGCTCACATTCAGGGTGCGGACAGTGCAGCTTCACTTGCCACATCTTTCTCGGCATCCAGACTAGCAAGCGTTGGGCAAAATACCTGCTCACAGATGGTGGTTGGCTAGGTAGGAGGGATGGTGGAGGGGGGTAGAACCACATTTGGGTGACCTTTGCACTGTCAAACGAAGGTTTCCCTTTGTTCGACATCTTAAACAAGGCAGAGGACACCCACTGGTGGTTGACGGCTGGCAAGGTCTGCTTCCAACCATCAATCAAGCACACACTACTCTCACTAGATTTGGTTGCAGTGCCTACAAGAAATTTATGCTACCTTTAAGATACAACTTCCTATAATACTGAATCTGCAAATCACTAAATAAATTCTATCAAAAATCACTCAAATAAATTTTTTCAAACCTATCGATTTCTCTTGTGCAGCAGCAGCAGCTTCAACCCTGGCGACTGTCGAAAGCAGTTCGTCATGTGGAATGTCATCTGGCACAATATCTACAGGCGACTGAACCGCTTTAACTGTGTTAGAGAAATTGAAATTGTTTTGATTTTGCGGTCTATAATTTTATAATATCTTCAGCCTATTATAATATATAGTTTTGACATTAAAACACACAAACCTTTCAGAGGCACGTTTGGTTGAATGGTCGCATGGGAGAACCTCCTCTTCAGCTGGGCTGCGATCGCTGCAGGGCTGCGGGACGATAACATGGCAGTTGATGTTTCTAAATACAATGATACAAACATGAAACATATGACTTACTCTAGACATATGAATAACACAAGCAGAGCACATATTTGACATATTCACTTAATAATTTTAAATATTCTCATATCTTTTGAAATATACATACTGTAGTTTTATATCTTACCTATTTTCTTCAGCCGTTCTTGCTTCTTTGTTGCCACAACGCTGCGACCTTCCGCAAAGCTGTTCAAGTATTTTTTAAATTCGTTCTTGTTGATGGACAACGGTGCTGTAGTCACAGGCTCAAATCGCATGTTATCCACCAACCAGCCAGCATATCCAATGCCGTTTTCCAGCAGCCATTTGAAGGACTGGCCTTTGAACATGCCAAACTGCAGAATATATTGGCCAAGGACATTTATTTCGTCGCTCACGCTCCCTCCGAGCCGTCGAACTTCGGCCTCCGCGTTTGTTCGGACTGTCGTTGCATCCAGACAAAGCTGTGTGCTTTCGCTCGACGACTTACAAATATTCCTGAAACGTCGCGCTTCCTCCGTGTAGTTTAGGGTCAACTCTCCCCTCGAGTCTTTTAAGAATATGGGACGAAGATTCTAAAGCAAAAAATATGAATAAAACATCAATAGATGCTCAAATTCTTTGTATATTTATCGTGCGATATTCAAATTTGACACGGTCAAGTGATCGTAAAATTACGATCGCGTTTGCATCAAAATATGTCAACAAATACGTATGTGAAACCGATCGAATTTCACACAAACCAAAACAAATGTCCTAGGAAATTTTTCTCATTTTACTGAGCAAAAAATTCTGCGAGAAACCATGTAGATTGACCGAAATAACACTCACTTTTGTGCACTCCTTCGAGGACGCCATATCACAACAAGACAAACGGTAAACACAGCTTGAAAAGGAAAAGCCCCCTTGACCAATCAGCGTCGAGAACTTTTGGAAGGTTTTGGAAGACTTTTGGAAGGTTTTGGGCAAATGGAGCATTGTGATTGGATAACTTTTGGAAGAACCTTCCAAAAGTCAACAGAGAACTTTAGCGTTCTTTTAGCGCAAGGATGACACGCAAATTCGTGAAGCGTTCCAAATTTTTAAACTTTTCCTAGCCCAGACTTTATATTTTTCGGTTATCCGCCAATCGCAAAAGATGGAAAGTGAAAAGATATTAAAAATACAATTTGGGGCACGAGTTTACATAAGCCAGCGGTCCTCATTTCTCGGTTGCCCGCCTATCGCAAAAATATGAGCCACAAAAGTCAAAACTACCGGCAATTGTCAGACAGTTACAGTGTATTTTCAATATCTTTCACTTTCCATATTTTTGCGATCGGCGGACAATCGAGAAATGAGGTCCGCTGGCTCATGTAAACTCGTACCCCAAATTGAATAAATCGTTTAGAGTTATAAAACACTGCTGATTGAAATTAAATGTACGATGGCTCCAGATGGCAAAGATCGAATTCGGTTCTGCCATCAGACAGCTTTTTTTCTCGACCTACCGACCATTCAATAAACTAGTCTGGCCCTACCATGAAAGACATTTTTTAATGTCTGGTATCCATGAAACGTCAGGAGTTCACTTTAAGCGTTTTAGAATTTAGTGCATTATCGCTAGATTTTATCGATTGTTTCATTACCGAGTTTTGAGCCTGAAAAAATGACGATCTTCCTTAGAAAGATGGGACAACCTTCCAAGATAAGGTCCCATACAAATGAAATATGGAAATGATTGAAAGAAAAGAAATAACATATTGACTGAAGAGTGAAGCCTGACCCTGGGTCTAAAAGTAAAACAGCGCTGAACACTAACATCACTACAAGAGGCCTGCGGTAACGCCAGTGTCAGGTTTCTGGTAAATTACAAAAGGGCATGATGTATTAAAGGCACAAAAACCAATACCAGCCGACAATTTCAAAAAATATAATACAAAACATAATCCGAAGATAAGCATCTTGAAACCCAAAATATGAGTCAAACAAGAAAGTGAGTGAGTAATATTTCGATTTTATTACAAAATCATCATCAGACTCAATCTGATGATGATTTTGTAATAAAATCGAAATATTACTCACTCACTTTCTTGTTTGACTCATATTTTGGGTTTCAAGATGCTTATCTTCGGATTATGTTTTGTATTATATTAAAGGCACAGTTCAGCCTTTTGAATGATTGTTTTTAAGGCGCATTTCAGCCCTTTTAATTGAAAAAACTAACTAGGAAATCAATTATACATAATTCAAGATCAGTAAACTCAATGGTTTTAACAATAAAAATGTTAAAAACATCAAGCTTGCTGTAATGCTGATCTTGAATTATGCTCAATTCATTTTCCTAGTTAGTTTTTTCAATTAGAAGGGCGGAAATGCGCCTTAAAAACCATCATTCAAAAGGCTGAACTGTGCCTTTAAACTGAATGTAGATGGATATTTCATATTTCTAGATGGAATTTTTAAATGGAAATTTATATACAATTATGTATAAAAGAGGTTCATACTCAACAACTGGACTCAGTGCAAGTATATTTTTCAGGTAGTTCCATCCCTACGAGGTTGAACCTAGCCTATATAATATACTCTTGTTTTAACATTTCAGTCGCAGTATTTTTGTGTGTGTTTTGATGTTATGTACTCAGGTGAATATAATGTTTTGGTGTTACTCCGAGTGTATATCCACACTGGGCAAGCTGAAAAGTTAGCCTGACCACTAGTATCCCAAAGGTCGCGGCTTCGATTCCCATCGTGGTCAGGCTAACCTTTCAGCCTGCCCGGTGTGGATATACACACAGAGTAACATAAAAAACATTTCAGTCGCAGGCTAAGTTACGGTTCAGAGGTGTAAGCGGGTGTTCTAGGGTCAGGTTTTAGTCAATGCTCTTTCTTCTCCCATTCACATACAGCTATTTCAATTAAGGTTGTCCCCGAGCAAAGCGGAAAAGTCGAATACGAGCGCGAAAGGCTGCTGGGAATCGCTAATAAATTCATTAATTTTTTAGCGATTCCCAGCAGCCTTTCGCGCTCGTATTCGACTTTTCCGCTTTGCTCGTGGACAACCTAAATTGGAATAGCTGTATACAGCGTTTGCATCTACATCATCACAAACAAAATACATTTTTTAGCTTTGAGGATCTAAACAACGTTAACCAAATTTAATCGCCTATGAGATCGATGCAAGCATGAACTTTGACACTTTGGTATATAATAATTTCGCTTTTCATGGTTCCGGCGTGGAGTAATGGTTAGAACATGGTCACCTGTGCTTTATGGCCGAGTATGGGATATAGAGTGACTGAGAATGGATAAGAGGTTTAAGAGTCTGTCCGCCATTTTTGAGGTATGCTGTCTTCCCTCGTCAAATAATCTAGGCAATTAAAACAATGTGAAAAGCGACTTTTCAAAGTTGTAACTGTAAAGTTATCATTATACACACAACTACAGTGATAGAAAGTCGCATTTCGTGGTGCTCGCGCTTATCAAGGCGATACCCCCCAAATGGCGGAAAACCGATAGTGAGAGAGGCTAATTGGATAAGACTGGAGTTGGCACTCGGCACTCGGTATCCATAAAGCACACACGATGATGCCCTAACCCTTACTGCTTAAGTTCGATTGACATTGCTACTTCTGGTATAGAAACCAGAGCACCAGGAGAATTCCCCGGTGTATGCTAGGGTCATGATTGCAGGAAATACTCTCGTCTCATGCGACTGAGCCACAATCGCAGCCCAGTGAGCTGCATATGTCTGGAGCGAGAGCTCGAATCCAAAAAGTGAAGCCAAGATGCCGGAAATTGAAGGAACGTCAGTTCCAGTCCCTTCATATTGTTCTTTTCTGCGCGGTTAAGCTGGCAAGTAGTGTGCCCCGTGGAATTAACGGGGGAAGGGGGGGGGGGATGGCTTCACTTTTCTTATAGGCCGAATGACTGAAGTTCTTGCTCCAGATATATAGAGCTCATTGTCCCAGCCTCGTACCCAGACGCTTTGGACGTTACACCGTCGCGTGTCGTCCCGCGCGCTCCTCACGCGATTGCGTAGCAAACTAAAGTGCCTGGGTATGAGGCTGCCACAGTCGTACGTGAGAGTTTTCCAGGTGAATATACATCGCTTATTAAAGGCCGTTTTCCATTAAGGCCGAGACACACCGGACGCTATTCGACAACGCTACGCGATTTTTCGATTTTCACTGACCGATAACTTTGATCCTAGTTTAAACTTTCTAAATATTTAGAAGCGTTATAACATTTTGAGTTATTTGGTCTACATACCTTTTAAAATTTGCTCTCATTGGCTGTTTTATTAACTTTCAAAAACTAAAAAATCGCGTCGCATTGTCGAATAGCGTCCGGTGGGTCTGGACCTTTACGGTCGCTTTGCCCGTGTGGAACGAGCGAACGTTTTTGAACAAGCGCTGTTGTTGACCAGCATGATAGTTTTCAGTCTGCTGTAGCCCTCGCCATGAACTGCAGTCAACCACAGAATAAGAGACCTTACAGAAGGCCGACTTCTTGGTTTTGCCTATGATTTTGTCGTAACCGTTGAAAGGCTGTAGCCAGTGCGCTTATGAGAGGAATTCCCCCCTGGACGTCTGCCATTTTAAATATTATCAGGGGGTAAATGTCTCTCCTAAGCGCACTGGCTAGACGTCAGCATTTTGATGACGAATTACGGTTACGCCAAAATCATAGAAAAAACCAAGAAGTCGGGTAAGAGGACTGGGGACGAATGCTAAAAATGCCCAAATTAAGAAATGAACCAAATCGACCACCTCAAAATAATAAGTATACAAATTTTGAAGACCTCCTCAAAATTAGTAAGTATACAAAGTTTGAAGACATTTACACGAATACCCTTCGAATATAAGCTTTCGAAAATCGCGATATTTACTATGAAATGTACTGTAATTTTTGTTTTTTGGGACGCGCGTCCCAAAAACAATCTTTTAATCAGTAATTTCACAATTTCCGAATGCTTATTATTCGAAGGGTATTCATGTAAACGTCTTCAAACTTTGTATCCTTACTAATATTGAGGTGGTCTTTTTAGTGATTTGGTTCATTTCTTAATTTGGGCACTATTTAACACTCGTCCCCAGTCCACTCATCAACTTCGAAATGGCTAATTCTGTGCTTAAGCTCTCTAATACACCCTACAGGAAAATACGTCATTTTGGCTATAGAGCCTCGTTTTAATGATTGAGACGTTAGGATTTAACTAATGTGACATACACGAAAACGAGGTTCTATAGCCAAAGTGACGTCCTTTCCTGAAGGGTGTATTCCACAGTATTACTGCACGAATACCGCTTAATAGCCATGCGACTGCAAGACTTTATAGATTAGAAACTTGACAACTTCCAGACTTTTATAAATTTTATTCCATATAAACATAACAAGTTATCTCATCAAGTAGTTCGTAAAACTCAAACGTAGCCAGTCCACATAAGAAACATAACGAGGCTGACAACACTTGAGGAAGAATACTAACATCTGAATCATGAAACTTGGCCTGACTGACCATCAGTCAAAACCATGGATAATAAAATAAATGGATAGGACTCTAGCTGACGTAAGCAAAAACAACCTGGTTGCAATCTGTAACGTCAAGCGTATTGCAAAGTTCTCGGCATTTTTGTTGTTTCGCTATACTTTCCGCTTTAAAAGAGTAATATTGAAGCATCAACTGGTCTAATTGTTTTAAAAACATGCCTAAGCCACGACAAAGTATTCAAGGTAAATGTTTTTCGTCTTTGTTTTGTATTTTTTTACATTTGTAGCTACGAAATTGGCGTCTTAACGAATTTTAACGAAATTGGGACGCATTTTTCACTGTTTAGTGCTTGAAATATTTGCTAAAATTGACTGGGAATACTTAGAGATTTCATCGTAGAATGGCGTAGTTATATTCATTTGCTCTTTGACTAAAATGGTTAGCTGTATTATTGCTAAACATGCCGTTTTTGAGAATTTGGTTTGCAACTAGGTTTCAACATCCAATCACGCCATCAGCCCGTTGAAAACATTAGGTCACGTCAGCTAGTTTCCTATCCGTTTATTTTATTATCCATGGTCAAAACCAAGCACGATTTGTTATGTTATCAACGACCCAAATTTGTTCTTCAGTGACGTTCTTTTGAAATGTTTAATAACAGTTGCCATGTCTATTTCCCTTTAATTAAAGCAACACGAATAAAAACTAAAACAATGCTTATATATAGATTTCCTCAACGTCGTATGAAAATTGGCCATTTCCGACCACATGATGCTTATATCGTTTCTTTGTCTTTATGCATTTGTTATTTATATTCAGATTTATAATATAGCACTTGTAAGTTCTGAACGCTGATTGGCTAAGAGCCGTGTTGATATATAACAATTATTCGCCGAAGGCGAGGTGATTATCGAGGAATATTCGCCGAGACGAAGTCGAGGTAAATATTCCCCGATAATCACCGAGCCTGAGGCGAATAATCGTTTTAGTATTTTTACAAACTGGAACTGAACTAGTTTCGCTTACTTTTGTCAGTAACTTCCACAAAAAATCTAGCTGCCATTTTGCAAATTTCGATTTTGTTATATTCACCTGCAGGTGAATATAACAGCTTAATACGTCAAATTTGACCAATCAACTTGTAGGATTTGTTATATTCACTTGTGCAAAAATACTAAAACTCAGTATCAACACGGAAAATTTCTTTCTTTATATTTCTTTGCGCTATATTATAAAAAATATAAAACATTTGTCCGTATTGATATACAGTTATATCAACACTAGTGGAGATTGGGAAAACTCGAAATTGTGTGAAAACACTCCGCCCTCCAGGCATCGTGTTTCCACATAATTTCTCGTTTTCCCAATTTCCACTCGTGTTGATATAACTGTATATCAACACGGAAAATGTATAAAATACATAAAGACAAAGATTAATAGAGAACTTAAGCAAGCGATGTTTTTTATTCGCAAACGTAAAATCGATCCGTTATAGATGGCGACAGCCGTTCTTGTTTGAAATCACAAACGTGAGACTGCGTCGACTGCCGTTTCAAACACGATCTGCTGACGCCATAATTAACGGTCAAATTGTGTGAGTGCACGTGATGTCCGTGTCGTCAACAACGTCGATTGCTTAAAACTACGTTCACACACACACAACAAATCGGGACGATTTCAGGTTTTGCCGAATGTTAATAATGACGAATGTTGTCAAGATGACGTTGACAGCATTTTTTCAAATATCGTTTACTTATTAAAGCTAAATCGGCCCGATTAATCGTTGTGTGTAAACGTACCTTAAGCCACAGTATAAAGACACACAGAAGGTCGACTTCTTGGTGTTGCCTATGATTTTGGCGTAACCGTTGCAACGCTGACGCCATAATCTTAGCCAGTTCAAAATGGCGGACGTCCAGGGGAGTGAATTCCTCTCATAAGCGGCACTGCCTAGGATCATGGCGTCAGCATTTTGATGACGAATCATTGCGAATGTGGTTACGCTTTTTTAGCTGAGTCGACCTTCGGTTTGTCTCTATTCTGTGCTTAAGCTCTCTAATAGATGTAAACATCTCAGTATCTAAATGGACAATTACACTAAGAGCTGAGGTAAAATGACAAACAATGCGAACAGTCGTATAATGTCAAACAGGTCAACTACTTGAGCCCGAGTTGTTCACAGACTTTCTTGGCCGCATTCTGTTCAGCGGTTTTCTTCATAATGTGAGGCGTACCGACATATTCCACGCCATTTACGGTGACTGTCGCAATAAACATGCCAGAGTCCTTAATTGTATTATATATCGGAATCTGCATACCATTCTTTTGGCAATATTCTTGCACGATGTTTTTCGTGGCTTTCGGTTTAGGAGCGCTGGGAGGTTTTGGAGGCGAGCTAGGGATGGCCGAAGGCTCTTTTTCTGAGTCAGACGTGCTTAAAACGGCATCTAGTAAGCAACGGCATTCAGTATATTCATTTGTTATTTGCATCACAAATTCTGATTGTTTAATAAGGAAGTTGGGAATGAGGTGAATGTATAAGGTGGAATGGCCGGGTGGAATGGCCAGGCGAAATAGAATATAGAATGACTGCAGAATTGGTTAGGGTTATAAAAACAGGGTTTCCTATAGAAGCCTACAGCCGGCTGTTTTCTGTCAGTCGTATGACAATCTAACGCCGCTTACTTTGAAGAATACTTCAAAGAAATACTTCAAAGAATGTTAAACAGCTTTGCATGGAAAGCAAACAGTCCAGGAAATCTCCCCTCGAACTCTCTCGTTCTGCTCATGCATCAAATTAACATCAGTACCTACAGTGCAGTTTTTTGCAAATTGTGTTGAAATAAAAAATAGTGAAACTCAATGTCATGTGAACAGCCTTCATGGCCCTTGGTATATATTTTACTTCAAAGCTATTGTTATACATGTAAGTGCTTTGAAACGACTGAGGTTCTTAAATCCAGAAATGTTCTCGGTGCATAGACCTGGCTTCTCAATGGTTGGGCCCTGTGAAATATGTGCTAGCGCATCATATAACAATTTCAAACACCTGCTGTTCGAAATTGTATTGGAAACCCTGAAAACGGCCTCGAAAATTGCTTTCGCATGGCATTCCACAGTCACTCCGCATTCCATTATTCGAATGTCATTCCGCACGGCAATTTCGTCTTGTACATTCACCCATTATGGATACGTTTACACCATACCGGAGAGCTATCCGTAGCGGCGCGAAAAAGCACCTATTCGATACGGAATGTACAATTTTCAGAAGCCGACCGAAACAAAATCTCTCCGTCGCAATAATTCCGCTGAAAACAGCGTTCCTAAAGGTACGGACATGCGTTTTTCTACGTTGCTACGGAAAGCTATCTGGTGCAAGTGTAAACGTAGCCTAAAATGTAACAAAACAGACCAAAAGGTCTACACACGTAAAAACAAGCAAGTTGTTACAGATCTGCAAACGAGTTGCAACAAGGTTGTTGTCAAGCAGATATCAGGATGTGTTCGCATTGTTTGTTCCCAGTTGTTGTAACAAGTCTGGAACAACTTGTTATCACCTTGCTACAAGGTTGATGACGGCAATGGGCTTGCTACAAGTTGTTCCAATAAGACTAGCATAGGCTGTTCGTAACAAGTTGTTACGAGTTTGTTGTAATCAACTTGTTACGTGCGGATGATATCAGACTTGTTGAAACAACTTGTAGCGAATCTGATGGCCTCATCAACCTTGTTATAAGATGATAACAACTTGTTCCAGAATTGTCAAAAACTAGGACTAAGCAGTGTGACACATCTTTTTGACAAGCTGCATGTGAGATTTTTAGGCGTGTAGTTCAAACGTCGCGCTTATCATGTGGCGAACCGGCAATGAGCTCAACCAATGAGTTTACGTCATTTAAATTAGGTTCAGCACATGTTAAAGGCACAGTTCAGCCTTTTGAATGATGGTTTTTAAGGCGCATTACAACCCTTTTAATTGAAAAAAAAACTAGCTAGGAAAATCAATTTAGCATAATTCAAGATCAGTGATTTTAATGTTTTTAACATTTTTTAACATTTTTAATGTTAACAACATTGAGTTCACTGATCTTGAATTATGCTTAATTTATTTTCCTAGTTAGTTTTTGACTCTTTGTGAGTCTTTGTGGTTACTTGAGTGTGGGTTGAGTGTAGGGCAGTTAAACAATGGGAAATGACCAGCTTGCTTTGCGCGCACTGTTTGCCCGCGAATCGGACCTTTCAGAACCGGAAATCGGGCTGGAGCACGCGTTCGTTCTTTTGATTTGGCAAAAAAAGCACGACAAATGGGTGAAATAGCAAAATTCGCACGGTGCCCGGTTTGCAAAAACAACTGCAAACTGCTCTAATTCTTTTTGTCACTTTCATTTGATCTTATCCGTGAGTCGGCCTCAACGGCCTTTGATTTCAATTGGAAGGGTTGTAATGCACCTTAAAACCATCATTCAAAAGGCTGAACTGTGCCTTTAAGCGCGATGTTTGACCTAATAAGCTATAAAAGAAACCAGTATATCAGCCACAATATTTATAGTTAAATGATATAAGACGAAACAAAGTTCAAGAATAAACATAAAGGGAAATATAAGATATGGATTAAAACAATAACATAGACAACCCCTTATCTATATAGCTTTGCATCAATCAACATCGTGGATTTCTCAAGATATTTATTTCGGACTTTGTTTCGACTTATATGCAAAGAATGTGCATGAAACATTTTGGGGAAGTACGTTTACATCGTATTTTTGCACTTGTTAAATTCGAGTTCACAAAACTCACTCGCTCATTGCATTCGCTCGTTCGCTTTGTGAAACAAATTAACACGTGCGAAAATACCATACACATCGGCACTTCCCATGCATGAAGAATCGCAAAAAAGGAATAAGGAATTCGGAGGGCAAAGACGAAGGTTTTGCTTGAGAAGACGTATAGATGTTTACCAGTAAATGACTGCCCGATTAATATTCTGTTATAAGAAAATTTATTATATAAACATAAGTGTTATATAGAGTTTTTGGCCACTGAGAAAAATCGTATTTAAACACACGTAAAAAATACGATATTTTTACGTGTGAAAATATCATTTGTTGTAGAACGCATTGCCACGGACGTTTTATTTTTTTCACTGAATTTTGTTTATATAATAAACAGAAAAATACATGGGTGCTTGGAAATACCAGGTTTATTTCTCGTGTTGAACATGATATCTCACTCGTTCGCTGCGCTCACTCGTGAGATATCATGTTCAACACTCGAAATAAATCTGGTATTTCCGCGCACCCATGTATTATTCTCTATTATTGGCAACAGTGAACTTGTTTTGAGCTCATAAGTGCCAATTTAGACACTTATATAAAGAATATTAATTCAAAGGCCAGTTTTGAATAGAACTCCGGTTGAACGAGGATGAGGGTGGATGAGAATTGAGAAGCGAGAGTTTACATGAGAGTTTTCTCAACTTGGGAAGCAAGAATTCATGAGAGTTAATTGGGTATTACCGCGCGCGTAGCGAAAACTGTCATCAATGCTCATCAAAATGTCAACCAGATCAAAGTTGATGAGCGTCGACGAGAGTTGCCGGTGAAATGCGAGAGTTGCAACTCGCCTAACTGAGCTTAAGGTCTGCGCAATTCTAAATATCTTTAATCATAGGAAAGATTTGGATTGATAGGGATGCATGCAACTATACAGTACCTGAAAAATACAAGGAGCACCTCGACGTTTCGAGCGAAGGCCCTTGGTCGGGAAATTAGTAGCATCCTAGCTTCCCAACGAAAGATCTTCGCTCGAAACGTCGAAGTTCTCCGTATTTTTAAGGCATGCAGTTGCATCCCTATCAATCCGGCACTATCTATGCTGGCAAAGACCGTTTATTAGTCATGGTCATTTCGACCATTTAAAATAAGACGAGGTTAACAGAACAGTAACATCATTTTTACTTACTTGGGCTCTCCAAAACGACATGGTCATCCGCTATAGCGGTTTCAGCCTTGATTGAATCCAGTTGATTAAATACAATTTCAGCAACATGTTGTTCAGCAAGCTTTTTTGTCCCGAAAAAATTGACTCCTTGATATGCTGAAATATAAATATGCAGGTTTTAGAAAATGTGGCCACAATCAATTATTATTTACATTTATTTACATTTATTTACAAGACACGGCAGCCTTTCACATGATCTGCTTTTCAAAGGGCCGTGCTCACTCTCTACACAAATATTACAATTATATAAATTAATATAAACACTAGAAATTTTACAAAGTTAAGAAGTGGAAATCAGTTATATAGATGTTTTCTGAAGGAATTAAGAGAATATAGAGTTAACGTTACTTTGAATATGATCATCTAGACTATATACAACTATGCTAGCTCACAGCTCCTCTGTAAGAAAAAGGTCTCTTGTGCAAGTTGGTTTTGGGTTTATCTAGCGAAAGATTTATATGGTTGCTACGCACGTTAAAACGTGGATTATCGCAAAATAATTGGGTCAAATAATTTGGTGTTAAACCTTTCATTACTTTGAACATCACGATAAGATCACGATGTATAGAATTTTAGCGACGGGCAACCATTTCAAGTTGCATTTGAAAAATTCAGCTGGCCATGTTTCGTTGGTTGACCCATTAATAATCCTCACTGCTCCCTTTCGCAACTTAAAAGCCTGTCAAGGTTAGAGCAGTTTCCACCGTTCCACAAGGTGGACCAATAACAAAGGTGAGGCTGCACCATTTGTTTTCGAGTGGACTTCGGTAGCGCAGTCGGCAAAGCAAGCGCCTTTCGTGGGTTCGATTCTCGCTATTGACTCATGTGAAAAGAGTCAGTCAACGCTCTGCCGAAAGTCGTGGGTTTTGTCCGGGCGCTCCGGTTTCCTCCCACATGCAGGGAAAGGTGACAAGGGTGGTGGGCCAATATAGACACATGCAGTTAAGAAAGTAATATCACAATTGTTGTAATGATAAAATAGTCTTGGCCACGTGTGGGGTTAGGTAAGGGACCGGTCATTTATGGCGGGGGGTGGCACCGAAGAGAAAAGGGTTGGGTAAACTAAATTTTGAGTAACTAAAAGGTTGGGTAAATGAAAAACAAAACAACTCAAGGGTTGGGTAATAAAAAGTTATTGTCATTTCCAAAGCATGACTCACTTAAATATTGGACACTGAAAAGCAATGTCAACAGTCGTATGTCAATACAATATGTGAATCAATCAGAGTCACTATCTTGATCATTTAAAGTTTGTTCGTTCACTGCAACCAGGTATATCAATCACGTTTCGCTCGCTACTCTGGTTTCCGATTTGTTGCGAGACAAATGGTGTCTCCAAAGAAAGTACATGTACATATACAACATGAAAGTTTAGTTATCAAACTTGTGTCACAGAAGTAGTAAAGGACATGTGTGTCAACTGAATGGTATTCTTTTGTAAAGGTTTTGCCCAGGGGTGGGTAGTTATTTTTTAATTGATATTTGAGGTTGGGTAATCAAATTTTTTGCTTTTTAATGGTTGGGTCAGCAAAATTTTTACCAGGAAAAACATTTCTCATCGGTGCCACCCCCCACCATAAATAATGACCGGTCCCTACGCGTAATACTCGATGTAAAGCGCATTTGATCACATCAACATGTAGACTGAGAGCGGTATCTCCTTTCCACGGGTTTAGAATTCGGGCATGCGAAGGGAAAGGAGGGACTGGCGACAACACATCAAGAAATGAAATACGCGTTGCCCACACAACGCAAAATTCCCATTGGTCGAAATCGATACGCCTGTCAATCAAATCTGATATGTAGTAATTATGCTATAAATAATTTCCAGACTGAACGTTGATTTTATAAATAAACATGACATTACGGTTTCTATTGGATATAATTAATTGGATATAAGTAATGTTTATGCAAAGGCGGAGCCAACTTGACAAGAGCGAAAAGTGGGCGTATTTCGTTTCTTGATTTGTCGTCGGCGGTCCCTCCTTTCTTCCGAGGGACTGCTAGCGGTCTAATCAACATGTAAATTTGCGCTATAGAAATGCTAATCGTAATCATAGTCGAGTGAAGCCGAAGGAAGTACGAAGGGCAGTACCGTAGCTAGTTCTTACCCTGTCCGTTTAGTACCAATGTACTTAAAAATCCACCAGCTGCTCTTACAGTGCTGTATGTTGGTAAGTCCAATCTCATTTTCATAACTGTTTCATTCAGCTTGCTTTTATAAGACTGAAGTTGCGGCCCAGGTGCAGCTTCTTCTTGTTTAGCTACTTTAGCACTTGGCTCAGCACTGTCACCGTCTTTCGATGGTCTCTTTTTGTTTTTCTCTAAAAAATGGATCAACACAAGTATAAAACCATGCAATGACCAGAGGGAACTTGGAGACTGGCTGACTGCATACCTTCGCCAGAGAATTAAATTTTTATCATGCATAAGTTATACTAACAGGGCTGCAAATAAATATTTGACTTGACAGGACATTTGTCCGATCACTTTTAATTTTGGTCGGACATATACGTATACGTCACAAGATATATATAAGTCACGAGACAAGTATGTACAGCCATTCCGGCGCAACGTTAAGTAAAATGCTAGAATGCCTCGTAAATTTTATTGCAAAATGCAAATTGAGTGAATTTGCAATCGGATTTTGTCACAGCAAAAAAATGTATAATGTGACAATTTTTTTTTTGTGATCGGACCAATGTCCGATCAAAATTACTTTTGCCAAATTTAGTCGGACATTGTCCGATGTCCGACAGTAATTTGCAGCCCTGAATATAGGCTAATTACGCATTCACTTTACTAAGGGCCTTAGCAAAAGTTTGTGTTGCTTTGCCGGACATTGTAAAGTGAATGCCTTAGGCAAAAAAAATGTGTGGGTTTCCTATTTCTTGTTGTTCAACTATTTTTAAAATTTTCCTATACACACATACAAACGTGGATCAAAACATAACCTCGCGGCGGAGATAATCATGCGAGCAGCGTCAAAATAAATATTCAACCAACTATATATTTAAAGGGAAGGCCACACGTTTATTAGCCATTGGCTGTACAGGGCAGAGGTGGAAATAGTATCGAAAGCTGGCAACCTAGTTCCCAGGAATTTATTTATCTTGATTTTGGCAGTACTCTGGACTCTATAGCTCAGTTGGTTGGAGCGCAGCACCGGAATCGCAGGTCCCATAGTTGCATTTTTCTCAACTGAAAAATTGTACAACATTCGAAATTTCCATTAAAAAGTATACTACTTTAACCAGCGCTGCATAACTATCCTTCATAGCTTACCTTTTTCAGTTCCCAATTTAGGACTAAACATATCATTAGGGTTAATATATCCCAGATCCTTCAACGCTTGAAATGCAGCACATTGTTCGGCATCTTTCTTTTCTCGTTGCGACTGCAGGCATGAGAACATCTTGCCATCAACACTTACAGTTGCTGTATAACCAATGTCTGCTTTCTGGCATGTGTATTGAGGGATGGGTTTGTGGTTCTTTTGGGCATACTCTTGAAGATTGTTTTTGTACGATATAAAACCTTGGGCATCTGCAGTTGACACTATACAATAAAAAAGGAAATTTCTTAAGATATTCAGGGCTGCAAATAAATATTTGACTTGACAGGACATTTGTCCGATCACTTTTAATTTTGGTCGGACATAACTTGAATTTGATCGGACAAAAACGAACACCACTAAATTTGGTCAGACCTATACAGTATACGACACAAGATATATATAAGTCACGAGAAAAGTATGTATAGCCATTCCGACGCAACGTTAAGTTAAATGCTAGAATGCCTCGTAAATATTATTGCAAAATGCAAATTGAGTGAATAATTTGCAATCGGATTTTGTGACAGCAAACAAATGTATAATGTGACATTAGTCGGACATTGTCCGATGTCCGACAGTAATTTGCAGCCCTGATATTGTTGAATGTGTTACACCAACTACTGTATTTAGTGATGCACCGATATCCTAAAATAGAAATATCGGTATCGGTAATTTTGTTGTTGATATTACCGATATTACAAACTGTTGTTAAATATTAATGATTAGTTATAGTTGCAGTCTGGGCCAATAGATAACACAACAGATAAACAGTCACTAGCGCACAGTAGTAATATACCAGTTTGTTGCATGCATTTGCAGCATTTCATTTGATATTTTCAGTATTTAGTAACAAATGAATTGAATTAAATTCAAAAGTATTAAAGTAGAACTATCATGATGTCATCTTTGAATTGACATTGTGAAATGACATAGAATATCGTTATCGGCAAAATATCGGTCCTCAAAAATCGGTTATCGGAATATTGGTGAATTTCCATATCGGTACATTTATGTGACGTTTACATACAAAAAAACGGTCTTAAAATTTACATTTCAAAAACTACGTATATTACACTCTAAGGTTAAACATTTCATGTTAATGGACCATCTAACATAATCTGGTTAGTTCATTCAACCATAACGGCAGGTTAAATTAACCAGGAATTCTGCATGGTTAAACCGTCTATTACCCATCGGTATTAGATGTGGTCCTTGTTCTGTTTACAACGGTAAATCACAGATTATCACGTCTTGTATACAGCGGCCACTGTCAAGCTGGGACAACGCTTATTTCAAATTTGTATCCTTGAAGAAGTTTTAGATTGTACGCCAAAAAGAAATGATGTCTGGAGTTTGGTAAGTTTTGCTTAGATAGAAGATAGAAATTTTATTTATACACGCTGACCCTGTCAACCGAAGCAGATTACCATGAGGGGTGTGTGCCAAAAAAATGATCTATTGAGCTTACACTGAGCTTACACTGTATATTGTTGTAAATATGGCATCAATTTGAAAGCAGCATTAATAATTGTAGTTTAATATTGTTTCTTGACTTGCTAATGCGATTTAAAAAGGAAAGAAGCGAAAACTGCCTCTTAAAGTGTAACCAAACAGACAATTTTACTTGTCAAGGGAAAGTGATGGTCATTTCATGGGTTAGCAAATCTAACTGTTCATGAATGACTAAATGTTAACTAACTACTGCACCTGAATGCATTCTTCCCTCTAATGCCAGATGATTTTACTTTTGAAGGGGATAGTGTTGATCAATTTGAATTTCTGATTCTAAAACTTTGTACAAGGTATGGTATATCTATTGCCCTCATGTATACACTGTATAAAGTAAACAACATGTTTTACTCATCGAGGGTTGCATACCAATGAGTTAACCAAACTAACTAATGGTTAACCACTTGGTGTCTTGTTAATAGTCCTTGTACTCTATCATTTTACTTTGTCCAACACCAGAATATTTGGTTTGTCGAGGGGAGAATGCTAATAAAAATTTATGGACATATATTTACTAACTTTTAAATGGTTTTATTGTCTTGATACCAGGTAGAACAGAAATGCCACCATTGCCTCTTCCACGACCTCTGCTAGCTTGTCCATTTCCCCTGGTAGCATCGTACTGTCCTCTTCCGCGTGCACCACCACGTTGCCCCCTTCCACCATCTTGTCCCCTACCTCTGATTCCAGTTTGTCCATTGCCCCTTGCCCCACCTCTACCTCTTGCCCCAACCTGACCTCTACCCCTTGGAGCATCCTGTCCCAAACCTTGTGAACCTTCTGGCACCCATCCTCTGCCTCTGGTACTACCAAACTGACCTCTGCCCCTGTTCCCACCATCGGACCGCCCTCGTCCTCTATTAACACCGTCTCCCCTACCTCTATTTCCACCTTCAAACTTGCCTCTTCCCCTGTTACCACCATAACCTTGCCCTCTTCCTTTATCAAACTGCCCTCCACTCACGTTCTCTCCACTAACATACCCTCTTCCTCTGCTACCACCCCTACCTCTGTTCTCGCCACCAAACTGACCCCTGTTTCCACCATCAAATTGCCCTCTACCTCTATTACCACTCTCAAATTGTCCTCTACCCCTACCTCTGTTTCCTCTGCCACTGGCACCACCTCCACTACCCATATTATCACCTTCAATCTGTCCTTCACCACCATACTGCCCTCTACCTCTACCCCTCCCTGCACCTCTACCACCCCTACTGTATCCATCTGTCCCATCAAATCCACCACGACCCTGTTGAATTCCACCACGTCCCCGATAACCCCCAGTCCCACCACTATTGTTGGCAAACCCGTAGCTTGGAGGGACACTATCTTGTTGGTAGTTGCTTTGTGTTGAATATTCATTATATCCCATTTGAGTATTGTACCCATTATCCATACCATACTGTTGGGTATTTCCACCATAATTATCATAGCCTTGCCAGTTAGATTCTTGTGGTGGTGATGAAAACTGTCCAGGAACAATCCCTGCCGGTTTCACAGGTTCACCAATGGCCCCATATGACCCTGTGCTGTGGTATGTAGGTGCAGGTTGGTCATAACCAGAATTAAAGGTAGCATAATGACCACCATATGTGTTATCATTGCCATAACTGCTAGGCATTGGTGGGTGGGGTGGTTGGTAAGCACCATATCCACTGTCTTGACCATAACCATAATTTGGGTTTGCGGCACCATACACTAAAACAAAATTTTAACATAAAATTGAAATATTTATAGCTATTCAATGATTTCTTTTTAAGACAAAACCAGTACTGGAAAATGTCCGGCAGCGCCAGCAGCACCGCTGCCAGGAAATTCCTGTCATCTTATAAACTGAAATGCCATATAATTTACTTATTGTTTAAAAAGTCCAAAAGCATTTTGCAGGTCGAGACTGTCTTGTACTGAGATCAAAGTTTATCTCATGTGCGCAGGCCTGAATATAATTTTTTTGTGTCCTGCCTGTCACAATGACCAGCATCAATGAAATTGTGCCTGTCACAAAATAAAATGTATAGGTCACCAAAACAAGCATCGGTATATTTGGTTCCATACTAATTACTAAAATAATAGTGACTAATAGTAAATAGGACACGCAAAAGTCATATGTAGGCATGTAGCTAGACTAGCTAGTGCTGCAGTTGAAGAAATTAATAAGTGCTAATACTGGGAGCATTTATTTATTTATTTATATTAAATTTTATAGAAAGTTTAGAAACAAATAATTGAACTCAAGTGGTCAAGTTAGTGAATGAGGTCATGAAATCAATAAATTATGCCTATCTCTTATAAAAATGAATAAGTCCAAATGCTCAAATAATAACTATGACTATACTTTAGTTTGTTACAATGGCGCCACACTTCATCGCCACTCGCATTCTGGACTCGATATCGCGAGTTTCTCGCGAGAAACTCGCAACACCAATGCGTGGTATTATGCAATCTTTCGATTCTTTGCGAAATAATTATTTTAGTCAATCTCATGTGTCAACATGCACGATTGCTCTCAAAAAGTTAAAAGACGATCGGTTTAAGGTTCCTTGTCCCAAAATGGACAATGATTTTTGCCGAACTATGTACCGGACAAAGTGACCGACGCAATCGAAATAGTACCTGTCAAAACGGTTGAAATTGCGGATTTGTACCGGACAATGTCCGTGACCGGCCGCTAATATCCAGGCCTGCTAACCTCCAACTACAACCAAACTCTCTTTCCAGGTATAGCAAAATCGTAGCGTTCGATTTTAATTTTGCCACCATTTCTTCAATTCTATCATACATATCTACAATATTTGGTAAATAGGCTAATAGCAAAATGGCGCCCTTGTAAACACGAGCTTTTGCATATTATTGCGGCTTTTTTGGATCGAAATTTATGGATTGAACAATCAAGAGCATGATTTGTTGAATGTTTAAAATCGTTGGAAGCAATTAAAGTTGTAGAAAAGGTGTTGAAAGCTTTTCTGAAAGCATTGACGTATTGCCAAATGACGAATTATCACGCAAGCGACACTTGCTGGGAAGATGGCGACCGTGGGACAACTTTTTTACTGAAGTTACACATCTGTTCTTACTTAATCTATGGCCATATTGTTTACCCCGAAATGCATCATGGTCTATGCTCACCAAAAAATATATTTCAGAAACAATTTTTTAAAAAACATTTTGTGCAAATTGCAAAAATGATCTTGAAAATTTGTAAAAAAAACAAACACAAAAAATAAAAATAAAAAGTTGAAACACAAAAAATAAAAAGTTGAAACACAAAAATGAAAAGTTGAAACACTAAAGTGAAAAGTTAAAACACGAGAAATAAAAAGTTGAAACGCAAAAAATAAAAAGTTGGAACGCAAAAATAAAAAGTTAAAACACAAAAATGAAAAGTTGAAACACAAAATTGAAAAGTTGAAACACAAAAATGAAAAGTTGAAACACAAAAATGAAAAGTTGAAACACAAAAATAAAAAGATGAAACACTAAAGTGAAAAGTTGAAGCACAAAAATAAAAAGTTAAAACACAAAAATGAAAAGTTGAAACACAAAAATGAAAAGTTGAAACACAAAAATAAAAAGTTAAAACACTAAAGTGAAAAGTTGAAACACTAAAATAAAAAGTTGATCTGAGCCTCCTGGGCTTCCATA